AAAAGATGATGAATCGTTCTACGAATTCTGGGAACGATTCAAGAAACTCTGTGCGAGCTGTCCGTATCACGGCTACTCGGAGCAAGACCTCATCCTTTACTTTTATGATGGTCTTTGCGATGATGATAGACGGATGATCAATGCTGCATGTGGAGGAGGAATAGTCAACAAAACTCCTTCTCAAGCTAGGAATCTTATCTCGGAGTTGGCCGAAAATTGTAGACACTATGATCGGCGGTCAACAAAGAGAGTTATGGCAGCGGAATCCAACAACTCGTTGGAGAGTCAAGTAGCCGGCTTGACTTCTTTGGTTAAAGATTTCCTTTTGAATCCAAAAATCCAAGAAGTCAAGGTCTGCGGCATCTGTTCAACACAAGGGCATCCCACAGATTCTTGCCCAACTTTACAAGAGGAGAACTCCGAGCAAGTCAATGCTTTGGGGTTCCAAGGCCAAAGGAGGTACGATCCTCACGGCAACACCTACAATCCAGGATGGAGGGATCATCCAAATCTAAGGTACGGAAACCCTCAACCCCCTCAACAAACAAACCCTCCCCCTCCTCAATAATTTAAACAACAAGGCCAAACATCGAACTCAAGCATGTCCACCGAAGACATGATTCGAGCATTAGCCATGAATATGACTACGATGCAACAAAGTGTGGCCCAATTTCAAGAAACCACAAAGTCTAGCATCCACAATTTGGAAAGCCAAATGAGCCAAATCTCAAACGCCGTGAGTAGGCTAGAAGCTAGGGATTCAGCAAAACTCCCATCTCAAACGGAGCCGAACCCGAGGCAACAAGCTCATGCGGTCACTTTGAGAAGTGGCAAAGAGTTGGTTATGGCTAAGGCGAAAGCAAAGAGCCATGTGGGAGAAGAGGAGGAGGAGATCTTGATGCCAAGCACAAACCCTCAAAATGAAGAAGAAAAGGAGGAGGAAATCACACCTCAAAGAAAGTTCCCACCGCTCAACTCACCTCGAGGTCCTCGAGGGCTGGCCGGCCGAGGATAATGTTGTGGCGCAGTCAATGTTGACAACGACGAACTCCACTTCGAGCTGGGCTCTATGGAGCCCGTCGCCGAAGATCACCGGGAGGGTTATTACCCCCTCAGAATCAATAGTATCGCTGGTGAAGCCGGCAAGAGGGGTCTTAATGGGCCGAAGGGACCCCCTCTCCAAATGCAGCTCTCTGAAGGTGCTGAGGTACATTACATTGACGGAGCTGCCCGTGTCAATGTAAGTTCGGTGAATGATGGTGTCGTTTATTTCAGTCCGAATAACCAAGGCATCCCTGTGAGGAGACGAAGTAGGAGGGAGATCTGCGTTGGTGAAGGTGATGGGTTCCTCCCTCAGTCGCTTTACCGGGGGCATATGAGTGACCTCCCCCACGTAAAGCGATTGAGCCCACTTCTTCCGCTGGCTGGTGGAATCGCCCCCTGTATTGCCACCGGTGATCATGAGGATGTGGCGTTTTTTCTCCTGGTAGTGGGGGTACTCCTCCTCTTCCTCCTCCAAGTTTCCGATCTCCCTCTTCTTGCAGAGGGGGATGGTGTTCGGGTTCACCCAAGCGTTTACCTTCGTGTGGTGCCCCCGGGGAGGTCCCTAGTGAGAAGGTCCCTCCTGCTGGGGGCTCTGGACAAATTGGGACAGGTGTCCCGCTTGTATTAATCTCTCGATGGCCGTTTTTAGCTGGTGGCAGTCATCGGTCCTGTGCCCCTGATGCCGATGGAAACGACAGTAGGGGAACTGAGGGTTAATAGCATGTACCTCCGGGGGTGCGCGGGAATCGCGCTCAACGAGGCCCCTCTCCTCGGCAAAATTAAGGATGATGCTGACGGGGTGCGTCAATGGTGTCCGAGGGCGGTCCAGGAGAATGGGCTGTGCCCAAGTCTTGGGGTTGCTCTTATAACCTCCCCCGGGCTTGGGCTGGCCTTGCCGAGGGCAATCATCAGAGGGTCCTGAAGATTTGGGGTGGTTTGGAGGAGCCCCCTGCCCTCGGTTATGCTTGTTGTCAGCCCTCGGGGGCTGCTGATCCGGATGCTGGTGATACTTCTCCACCTCCTCGGCCTCAGCATATCGGTCCCCCCGCTGCAAAGCCCTTATGTAGTCGCAGGGGGGTTCAATGATGAGGCTCCTTGAAAAGTTGCCGGTGCGGAGGACGGTTTGTAGGAGGGCCAGGAGGGTCCCGTCATCAGCACCGTCGACTTTGTCGGCCTCCGTCCTCCAGCGCTCCAGGAAGTCCCGAAGGGTCTCATCCCTCTTCTGGCGTATGGTTAGGAGGTGGGAGAAGTGCTTCCTTGTGCGACGCCTCCCGGAAAATTGTGTCAAGAATCGCTGGGCGAGTTCTTGCCACGAATCAATGCAGCCCTCGGGCAGCCTGTTGAACCATTCGTATGTCGGCCCCTCTAAGGTGGAGAGGAACCAACGGCACAAATATTCGTCTGACGCCCCTACCATCATCATGTTGTTCTGGTATTTGTTGTAGTGTTCCTGGGGTCCGTTTTCCCGTTTTAGGGCTGTATGTGTTGCCCTCGGTATTTTTCCGGGATCCGGGCCGCCAATACCCTTGGGGTAAATGGCGTCCGAGTCCGGAGCTGGATGACGGGTTCCCCGGAGCTCTCAGCCACCTTCTTCTGTAATTCCTCCATTTTGGCCATCATGGCCTCGTATTTGAGGTCTGAATGAGGAGTGGAGGTGGTGGCGTGAGCTTTGTTGGACTCCATTTTGTCAACCCGGCGTTGGAGGGCCGCAATAATCTCGTCCCGGGGATCCTTCGGGAGGGTCTCCGCCCCCTGCGAACGAACCCGGGCTGAGTGGGCCTGGTTGATTTGGTGGCGAGCGTCATTGGCATGAAGGGGTGCCTTGCCTTTGTCCCGAGGGGGACGCTCCTCGTCTGCCCTCGAGACAGACCCTCCACTCTCCTGGGGCCTTTGGAGTGCCTTTCCTCCGAGGCGGTCTTGGACCCCTCGGCGGTCTGGCCCTCCTCCGAGCCGGTTGAGGGCGGAAGTGCGGGGCCTCTCCCTGTTGTCATTGTGGCGGTCCCGGGACTGTACTTCCTGGGAGGACGTATCCTGGGCCACTACCCCTTCGTCGTTCCTCACCCGAGGGGTGGGATTTCCGAAGGGGTGTGGCAGAGGGGGAAGTATGACGTTTTCCCCAACCTGGGGTTGAGCCGGAGCCAAGGTGCCGAAGGCACCCGGGTTCTGAGTGAGCGTTTGGATGAAGGCGGAGAGCGCCAATTGCACGTCGATGGTGAGAACCGGAGGGCTGACTTGGTCATCGCTCCGGTTTTTCTTCTTGGCCTTGATGCCGAGGCGGGCATCGGGGGCATTCTGTTGGATCTGAAGGCGTAGGTCGACAGCCGCCTGTTCCAACCCAGCAGTGACACCGCCCTCGGGAGCCCTGTGAGAGGCTTCGGGGGTGTTGACGTCGCCGAGGGCCAGGTTCTTGTCTTCTACGTTTTTGGAGTTGGCACGTGTTGTTCTCACCATTTTGGTAGAGGGATAGTGTTTGGCGAAGGGGGAGGGTTTCTTACTTGATTTGTTCGAACTCTCAACGAGAGCACCAAATGATGGATAGTCTACCCGGGGGTATATATCCGAAGGGTTATTGCTGAGAATAATTTAGAGAGAAGTCAGAGCAAGTAAACGTAGAGAGAGAGTGTATTCAGTATGAATGTCGTGGTTACAAATGGGGAAATGGGGTGCTATTTATAGTAGCAATAAATGCCGGACAGGGACACATGTCAAGCGCCTATTGGCCGAGGGGTCACCTCAACTGGTTGGCGCTGGCAGCCGCATGTGGCCGCATTTAATGCGGCTGTTGGATGGGACGTCTGTACAGGGCATGGCGATCTGTATGCATGTGAGGCGGATACCATTTCGGGAGAGGTGCCCTCGGTTGCAGAGGACTAGCCGAGGGCTCTTAGTGCCGAGGACCCCTGAGTCCCGAGGGCTCCAGGTGCCGAGGGCTACTGTTTTCGCCGTTTTCTTCCAGTTCCTCTGTTTGTTCGAAATATCCATGATGTGATGGTTTGGAGCCTTCGGCCAGGGGGCCGAAGGCACCCCTGGTGCGTATTGCGGGCTGCTTGGTACTCTGGGCGCCGTGATTTGGGCCTGTTGGGCCTTCTGGGCCTGTTGGGCCTCTACTGGAGTAGTAGGAGTCTGTGGGCCGGGTGTTCCCGGGCCATATACTCCATCACTAACCATGCAGTTGAACCATAGGATAGAATTCTCATCTATCCAAAGGATAGACACTATATTTAGTTTCATGAATATAATAATTAGCATGAATGATGAATGCGTACATGATAAATCTATGGTCTAATATCCTTGATACTGCATGACTAAATTAAACATCTCTTTCCTTGCATGCCTAATCACTCACGTGAATAAGTCAACTAATATGGCTTAAGTGTGTATGGAAAGAATCACTACTTTTGCTATACAAGAATCCTGCGGATTGTAGCTTAATTGAATATGCTAAGAAAATGCTTCCTTGAACATACATGTGCAAAGATCTTTTGATAGTTAAATATTAAATTAAAGTTTTTTATTAAGGAAAGGATATGTTGCATATGTTAAGAAGTTTGCTATTGAATGATTAAACGTACGTCTTCTGCTATATGCTATACTTGGTAAAATCATCCTTGGTTGAAATATTATATGAATATCTTTTAGAAAGAATCTCGGAATATGGAGATGATTGTATAGCTCGATTTAATTTGATTACATGAATAATTTGTTGCTTATTGTCCTCTGCACATTTACATAATAAGTGAAACTATATTTCCTTATATGATGGCTCGTAAATCATGAATCAATTTTGCTCATGATTGAGCGAATAAAAGAAGAGCTACTAGAAGGAAAGTAATTCAAAATTATCAAGGCAAGTCTACAAAACTTCTAAGGAAAGGAGGATCAACGGATATCTTCTGGGCTATATATATAGTCGAAGACCAAGAGAAAGAGAAAGGGTGCTTGACTGAGCAATTATAGAGAGAAATACTTACAAAGAAATATCAAGACCAAGGCACATAAACCTACTCACGAAGTTCTAGATATAGTTTCATATCCCTTCTTTATCTTGTAACTAGATTTTGAGAAAAAGCTAAAGTGTAACTTTCTCGGGTTGGGGTCGTGTGTGAGAGCTTTGTTGTAAAGCTGAGAGGCTCTCTACCCGCAAGGTAGAGATGCATAACTCTTCCTAGAGAGGATAGAGTTGGGGTGGCTCAAGGGTGGATTAGGAGAATTTACCTTGTAACCACAAAAGGCTTTTTAGTGAAGTTGTTTAAAATTCCTCCGAGGGGGGTCGGGTTTTTTAATCCCTTTGAGCCAAGGGATTTTTCCTCGTTAAATCCTTGTGCACTTTACTATTTCGCATTTCCCTGAACCCCACACTAGAACTGTGCGAAAAACTGTCACGGTTCCACACACACAATTCACATCCTCTTGTGTTGCTAACCGTTTCATGAGACGAAGCACATGAGAGATCATTAAACACTGATGTGCTGTTTGGCATACTTAAAAAAGTTGTATCTCGGCGTCATGATTTTAAGCTTATTGTGACGTCTGCCACGCTGAATTCACGGAAATTTTCTGACTTTTTTGGAAGTGTACCAATCTTCAACATTCCGGGTAGAACATTCCCCGTTCAACACATGTACAGCAAAACTCCTTATGAAGATTATGTAGAGGCTGCAGTAAAGCAGGCTATGACCATCCACATAACTAGCGCTCCAGGTGATATACTCATATTCATGACTGGTCAAGATGAGATTAAAGCTACATGTGATGCACTCCAAGAACGAATGGAACAGTTAGTGACCTCAACTAAACAAGCTGTAGCCAATCTACTCATCCTTCCCATCTACTCCCAACTACCTGCTGATTTGCAGGCTAAGATATTTCAGAAGTCCGGTGAAGGAGAACGCAAATGCATTGTCGCCACAAACATTGCAAAAACATCCTTAACTGTTGATGGAATTTTCTATGTGATTGATACTGGCTACTCCAAGATGAAGGTGTATAATCCGCGCATGGGTATGGATGCCCTTCAAGTGTTTCCGGTCAGTCAAGCAGCGGCAAACCAGCGAGCAGGGCGGGCTGGTAGAACAGGGCCTGGAACTTGCTACCGACTTTATACCGAGAGTGCATACTTGAACGAGATGCTTCCAAGCCCTGTACCAGAAATCCAAAGGACAAACCTTGGAAATGTCGTATTACTGCTAAAGTCTCTCGAGATCTCAAATTTGTTAGATTTTGATTTTATGGATCCACCACCTCAGGAAAACATCCTCAACTCCATGTACCAGCTGTGGGTATTGGGCGCGCTTAGTAACGTCGGTGACCTAACTGGTCTTGGCTGGAAAATGGTGGAGTTCCCGTTGGACCCGCCTCTTGCTAAGATGCTTCTCATGGGAGAACAACTGGAGTGCTTGAATGAAGTTCTCACCATTGTGGCGATGCTTTCAGTACCTTCGGTTTTTTTCAGACCCAAGGATCGGGCAGAAGAGAGTGATGCTGCCCGGGAGAAGTTCTTTGTGCCAGAATCTGATCATCTCACACTGCTAAATGTGTACCAGCAATGGAAGGCAAATCAGTACAGGGGTGATTGGTGTAACCATCATTTCTTACATGTCAAAGGTCTGCGTAAGGCAAGGGAGGTGAGATCTCAACTGCTGGATATCCTCACGACGCTCAAAAACTCCCTCACCTCAGGACGCTAAAAAAGAAGATTTAACTGGTCAACTTTTGCAAATCTCGATAAAGTTAATGTGCATGCATCACAAATGTATTCGCTTCTATTTTTACAAATACTTTTGAAGACCTCAACTAATATAGGGGACCATCTTTGTCCATTAAAAAAAAGCTAACATTATTTCTGGAACAACTATTGCAAATTACAAGCACCAATGGTAACATACTACAAAAGAAACATATATAACTAAATAGAAAATAGAAAGAGAACCTATTATACTTCTCGAAAATATATGTACTTCAAAGTTTGCACATACCCTAATTGTGACAACTAAACATAAAATTTGAAAAATTACAACACACATATACGCAGGGGTGGAGCCTGGGGTCACCATCAGCCGACCCCGCTGAAAGTTTGAGAGTATAGAACTTTGAAATATATTTGATTTGATATATTATGGCCCCCGTAACTCATTACGAGTAAAAAGTTATGACTTCTAGAAAATCGGCACTGTCTAAACGTAAAATCAGCAAAATTTGATGCAAATCATAGATTATTTTCCCAAATTTTTAAAATTGGGTATAATTCACTCAATACTTACGTGACACGACTCAGAAATAGAGCAAATACTATCTATCTTATTGCTACGAGCGACGCCTATTTATCTAAACTGCGTATAAAATATTCAACTCGGACATTGTTTAAAAACGATCCATCATTTACATTCTGTATATATGTTGAGTTTCGACCCCTCTTAATCATTTTTCTGGCTCCACCACTGCATATACGGAGTAATTAGCTATTACTCCGTAGCAGTTAGCGGTTAACGGGTCAAATTAGTGAGACCGACTGGTTCATTCAGTTAGCTGATTCTCTTTAACTGTTTGATAAAATTAGATGCTTATGATTAACTGTTAGAAAGTTAAAATTACACTTTAATTTATTTATAAATTTATTCGTTTATTTATATGTTTATTTTTTATTTTAGTTTTTATTTATTTATTTCCCAAAGTGATTTAATAATCAACTTCTGAATTATACAGTCAATATTTCTTCAAAAAAATATAGTTATAATAACTAAAATATTTGAAAGGAAAGATAAACAAATACTCCATATTTCGTAGGACACAAAGAAAAAAAGGAAAAAAGATGTAAAATTGCAAAGTGGAAAAGTGGACGAATTATACTAAAACCCTGCACAAAGCAGCGTGTCGAAATTAACTTTTTGGAGTTGAGAATTTAATAAACAGAGTCGAAAAGTGGACAAGTTTATCAAACGTATGTTTTTTTTTGGAAGTTATCAAACGTATGTTTTGACCGGTCAAAAATCAAATCAATTAAATATAATCAAATCAACCAAAAAATGAATAATAAGCATTTCCCAAACAAGGTCATGATCCATTTTTTCTCTAAAAATGGAAGTTAAGATCTACCATTTTTAAAAGTTATTTATCACTCTTTTCCTCCCTTAAAATTTTTGTCACTTACCATTTTTAGAACGTCTAAAGGTTTCTTCTCGTTTTTCTATTTGAAAATTTTGTGCGAATAACATTCATTTATTTATTTTTTACACAATCGCAATCATATATTTTTATTTTTTCTTAAACACCGATCCAAGTCAAATCGAGACGAATTTTATGGGACGGAAGGATTATTATATAGAGTATTTATTAAGTTAGTGTAGTCTTTGGCTATTTTGGCACAACGAACTGGAACTGGAGGTTAATGTCTGAATTAGAGGCTATTGTCTGAACCCGAGACTGTGGTATGGGGTTGAATATTAAGGTGCTGGATCTTAACTGCTAACTGAATGAAGTAAACGTCTTTAGCAAAAAGAGCTGAAAAATGACCAGATAAATCAAATTACATCGAAGGACATACTCGTATAATTATCAATACTAGTAGAATTTTAAAAGAGAGCAGATGCTTATTTACAGGGTGATATGAACTTTGGGTACATATTCAAATAATTCTTTTCCTAATAACTCATTCTCTTCACCTAAAGATAAATTTTTTCACCTCAAACTTTTCGTTCGTCTGCTTCATATATCAATTGTTGCCGACATATGCATAGCAACATGGATTTATGCTAATTATCATAAGTATATAACATTAGGCCATCAACGACACCAATTTGTGCCGAGAAAGGGTGGTACTGTGGTAGTACAATATTTTAAAGGTATTCTAGAGTTTTGTAAACTAACTGAGAGTTGAGAAATGTTTTGTTTTTATGATTCCAGCGAAAATGAATTTATAAAAAATGTTGAATGTGGTCATAGAGGACAATACCGGAAGTCCGGAATAGGGGATCGGCTAGAATGGAACGCTTCATGGGTAAGGATTTGAATTCAGCTGCACTATTTTAGTTCAAGCTCTATTCAGTCTTTTATCCAAACAACACAATCTGTGTAATAATTGACTGAATTTTGTTTATTTCGGTTCATTAAGAGCTGAAATGACATACCAAACACAGCCTTGGTCTTGTCTAAAAAAGAATAAGCATAAAAATGTTGGTCTTTTTGGTACAAAATTAAGTTATACTCCCTCCGTTCCTTAAAACTTTCCTTTTGGAGACGTTCAAAAAACTTTGTGGTTTCTGTTATTTCTTTCTCCTCTGCACAAACCTCAACCACACAGTTCTTACATTATTATTCTCCGTGCCAGTCAACTTTGGCAAAGTTTTAAGGGACGGAGGTAGTATATGCTTTCCGCCATTAACTAAACATCTTCATTGTGTTGACTTCTGATGTTCGGCAGAGCTTTCTGGAATACCTCAATTGTACAGTGAGTCCTTCGAGCAACAAGCAATACCCTTCCTTCTCTAAAGACTTCCAAGCATCTTAAAGTCAGACCTCTTTTCTTTGGCTAAAGGCTAATGTCTGAATTATGAATTATTATCTCAACGAGAGATTATTGTCTGCAGTTGTATATTAATGTACTGAATCTGAACTGCTAGCTGAACGAAGTAAATACGTTTGGCAAAAAAAAAAGCTGAAAAGGGTACCGGATTTATGAAATTACGACAAAGGGCATATAATAAATATTCCTCCATGATAAGACTAAATAAATATTATATTTTATAATGTAATTAATAAAATATTAAGATTGGAGTATATGTATGCGTATATAATACAGACACGTTGGTAGATCCATATACGATTTTGCTTCAAATGCTTTAAAGCATGTACCATTATGCAGATGGTCTCCCACATCGATGTATGCGAAATCTTCATCGAAATGATTTTTCTTCTTCGGACCTGGCAGGCTACCAAGTTGTGTGGACGACATTTTTAATCATCTTATCGGCCAACTATGTTTTTTTTGGGGAATTGGGATAGATCCCTTCCTGCATCAGAGACCTGGGCCGGTGCAGCATCGCCGGCGCCACTGCGACATTGTCTCTTGATCCTCTCGTTGGTCTACGTTTGAAGATTCTCCTTTGTTTGTGATAGTCGCACACTTGCAGCAAAGATGGAATTGTAAAGAGGTTGGGGCTAATACGGAAAAAAGGACCCCACTTATGGTTGGACTCGGTTCGAGCCACCCGGCCCGTGGACCGGCCTGGCCCGCTACTGTGCGGGACCGGGACCAGCCCGGTTCTCAGGTCCGGGTCCGGGTCGGGCCTAGGCCCGGGGGTAGGGCGGGTCCGGGCTCAGGTCTCAAATTTGGTGAACCGGCCCGGTCGGGTCGGGCCCGGGCCCGAGCCAAATTGATTTTTTTTTATTTTTTTTTCATTTTTGGGGTTCCACCCGGGTTGGGCTTGATGGGTTTGGGGGGTTTGGGAGGGTGAGGGTGGGGGTAGGAAAGCAAAAAAAAAAATCCAAACCGGAGGCCCGGCCCAATCCAGCCCCGGACCTGACCCGATGGCTACCCGAGCCGGTCCCGGGTCTACCATTCCTGAACCGTCAGCCCGCCCGGGCCTAGGCCCAACCCAGACCCAGCCCGGACCCGAGTCCACCCCTAGGGCCCCGACTGAATGGAAACGGTGCTCCTCTAAGCGTTTGAGTTCAGTTGAATTTTTCCAGCTCAAGCTCATTTCAGCCTTTTATCCTAACAACATTAATTGCATAAAAATTTACTGGATTTCAAACATTTCAAACATAGCCTTAACCTTTACATATTCACCCAGTTTGCTACTACCAATTCAATTATGCCTTCTTGCCTTCTTATCAGATACAAGCCCTAATTTATATAAATGCTTTGAAGTCTGAGCCTCATGCTACATAACAATAGAAACAACACTTGTATGAATGTAAATCGCACAAATTGCTTGGGATGCTGATAACCAAAAACACTTGCAGAGTTGTTCACTCACTTCACTGCCAAATAACCAAATGTCGAAGGATAGCAGACTTCTAGGAGTTCTAGGACCAAATGTTAAGGTATATGTGTATCAGTGTATGTCCTTCATGATCACGGGCTTCGCATTGACATCAGCCATGTTAAAAATAGAATAACTGGAAGTCAGCCGTTTTCGAGCACCTAACAGTAGGTTTAACATGTTGAAGGGGACAAAGAACATTTAGAGAAACCTAGGCCAGCAGGGCCTACAAGCTGTTCAGAGATTTTATCTCAACGAACATAACTAGGATGTAGTGGGAACCAACGTTATGTGTCTACATAGTCAAAGTAAACTATCCATATTCGTCCGACTTTCTGTGATACAGCAGAAAAGAACTCATCAAGCCCTACCTAAGCCAAAAGAGAGGCACTTGTATTACCAAGTCATCTCACACCATAACTCCTTGGCGGCTTTTACATCCAATTCAAGGGAAGCCAACTTAGCTAATGTGCCTTTCCATGCCTCATATCATTCATTCAACTCAGTTAAACGTGTTAATGTCATATTTTTTATGAAAACATATCCTAAACTACTGTAGCAAGACGGTAAAGAAGTTCAAATAAGGTGTTCTCGAGATTTCCTGACCATTTGCAGTGTAATACTCCTACCTTAGAGGCTTAGAATATACAAATTCATAGCCTCAATTCCTTGTAATGAATTCTTGCGGTATCAGACATCCTATAGGCATTATTATTGAAGACAAAAAACTTGATGTATCTTTAAAGAATTTTTATCTTTAGAGTTACCAATTAACTTGTTTTTCAAAATCCAAAAGCAACTCCCATAAAAAATCCATACGATCTAGTTTTCACTTTTCCAAAAAGTAACTCCAAAAGTAAAAACTTCCTTGGTGCTTGATTTTCTTAATCATTTTGCAAGACCCAAAGCCCAAACATACCTAACATCAAATTGGAAACTCAGTACCTAACTATTCGATAAAAAGTGGTATAGACAAATAACCTCTGCAATTTTCGAAGGCAGTGCCCTCATTCAATCCAATTTGAGAACAGTCGTTATGACTTGAAATGCTGAATATGGTGAAAATAATACAAAGCAGACATAGAAATCTTAAATATGGAAATATCACATTCTCTGTGTAGCAAAATCAGTTGGACCGGAACTAATAAATCCACATTTGGGTATTTTACCGGACTTGTACAATTCCTGCACTGACCAATTTCTGGATCTTGTTCTTCACTAGAGGGTTCTTCAAGTGTTCCTGAGCAGCCGCTGGATTTTCTTGGAAGTCCACAAGTACCTGCTCAGATCATGCAAGGAATCATAAGCAATCCACAATTACCTAAGCTAGTAATGTTGCCTTCCCTGCCCACCACCAACCACTTTCTTTGGTCCAAAAAAGGTGAAATCTCCCACCCCGGAGTCCCCCACACCCCGACCCGAAAGGGCACGTTGGAGAATGTAAATCACGGTGACTAAGCCAGCGAAATGACAATAGACCCATATACCCGTGCGCGCTAAAGGTCCAGCCCATTTCAAAGGCGGTAATCTTCACACGGTCGATGCGGGATTCGAACAATGGTTGCCCTGATCTAAATTACCACCACTCAACCAACTGAACTACCCGTGCAGGTACCACCAACCACTTTCTCTCTAATTATTCATCAGTATGTGCTAGGCTCCCCTACTATCTACCAGATTCACCCCACCCCACTACTTCGGCATAAGCCCCACATTAATGATTAATGTGTCATAGTGAGTACAGTATGCAATTATGCATTAAGAACACAACCACAACATACATACTTAATGTGTGAAAAAAACAGTTCCAGTTTCTACATTCAACCAAAATTATCTGCATATTTACTCATTCAAAAAAATGTGCGGTTCATGATAAGAGCACTCATAACTTAGAGTACTCGTTGTTCTTGGTGTACACAGGTATTTCATTAAATAATTCTTAAACATAATTCTGTATTCTGAACTCACGTGTCGAAGGCAAGTGGAACTTTTATTTTTGAGGGGATACGTCATACGTATTTAACTTCCACTAAACAATGACTAATCTATATCTGTACTTCATTTCCAATAAAATATTTTTTTATATTTTTGGTATGGACAACTAAACTCCGCCATGATATCATTTTTTTGGTATCATGCCTGTCCCAAGCCAGGATAAAGGAGGAGGGTGCTGTGGTAGGCGTGTGACGGCCAACAGAATCACCTAGTCACATCACATGACATGAATCGAAATATGAATATCACTATCCCTCATCTTTTTTTTCCTAGTTTTTTTTTATCCTTGTTTATATATAAGCATTATTTGAAGCCTTTTTATTTTATCATGTATATATATATATTCATCTTTTTTTATATTTTCTTTTCATAATAGCTTATCTTTTTATCTTTATTCCTTCTTTTCCTTTTGGTTGTGATATCATGTATCGATTCATGTTAGCCGACCCCAATATCTTTTGGGACTAAGGCTTGGATGTTGTTGTTGTTGGTATGGACAACTGGTCAAACCGAACCAGTATACAGTTCAGTTCCTACACACGAATTATTAATTGTTAATTTTAAAAAGAAAATAGTAGTAGGTAGTTGTAATAATAATAGCAATAATAAAATTAATAATCACCATAAAATCAATGACATTTAGCAACAAAATAATTTAAATTTAACTGAGGAAAACGTAAGTAATAAGTTATTGTTCATTAGATTGACTACATTTAGCTTGTTCTCTCAAATCAGGTTTTGTTCTATCAAGTAAATTACAATATAAAAGCAACTCAAATAAATATGTGGATGTTTGTATATATTTTACATTACTATCTTCAAGGTGATTGCAATATTAGCTTTATAAAAAATTATGCTACTGACACATCGGGTGATATAACGTCCATGTCGGTACATCCTAATTCAGTGTATTTTTTCAACTTTTAAGTATTTGTACTGGATGTCTTATTCATTCTACCGCCAATCCGTGATGATCGATAACCTTCCTTGCAACCCAAGGCTCTGATATATTATTTATGAGTGAAACTAATTTTTTTTTATTTTATCTAGTGTTCACTTTATTGTGTTTGATATTTGAAGTCATTTAAGACTTTGGATTAATTTTTTTCCCTTGTGTTTTGAATTTTCTACGTTTTTCTTCAAATTATCAGGGGAGAGTTATCGCTCTTATCTGTAAACATGGTAAACCGTAAATGAACTTATTTCCTGGACGACAAGGGTATTCATGTAGTATTTTTTATGATTTATTTGTAGATAAAGAGCTGTCACACCAACTATAAGTCTAGAACTGATGCTATTTTCACACGCAGGAGACAAATTCCTGCCCAAGTACTAGACCCCAGAGTGTCTGTATAGGAATCAAAGAAGGGGCCCTTTTCGAAACACTGATTAAAATAGTTTGTGGCATTATCACCTAGGATGGTCTCACCTGTCTCATTACTGGATCTGAGAGAATGTTCTGGACTTCTGGATCCTGCATACCTTTGGCCTGCAATGGGTTTAACAAAAATGTTAATACACCTTCATTCAAAAGCACCAACTTGTGTAAAGGTAGCAACAAAATGAATCCTAACCTGTCTTTCCTTCAACTCATCAGGTGTTAGATCCCCACGAGATGCCTTATTTATTTGCTCAACGCATCTGCAATTCAACAATACTCCCAATGTTACATATACAAGGAACTACTCTTCAAGGAAGAGAAATTGGATGTTTCCAGATCCTTCTCCACATACCTCCTAATGCCGTCCAACAATTCTGGATTTTTAGGGTCATGCTTCAAGCCTTCCTGATAAGTTTCCAAAGCCTTTTCATATTCTTTCATGAAGAACTGGACAGCACCTTTCCTAGTGTAACCTTTTGCAAATGTGGGGTCAAGTGCAATGCATTTCTCGGCATCTTTGAGTCCCTCAGGTAATGCCCCAAGTTTAGTATAGCTTGCAGCCCTATTACTGTAGGTCTGAGCCATAGACAAAAATAGAAAAAAGTGAATAACAAAATGTGACACTATCAATGAAAAATTTATATTTATCTCAGATTCTCAACTATGATTCATAAAGAACAAAAATTAGTAGGACAATACCCTGGGATCATTTGGATTCCTCTTCAGAGATTCAGTATAGTGCTTGATAGCATCTGGGTACTTCTGCTCTTTGAAGAATTGGTTACCTGAATCTCATATAAATGAGATAGCGTTACTACATCGTAGTTAGTATATTACTTATAAGTGCTTTAGGGGGGGGGGGGGGGGGGCACTTTCATTTAAAAATGAGATGTTTGGCAGGAAAATGAAAAAGGTGCATCTAGCAGTACAAAAACAACTTAAATGCTTAATCTCGTACTTATATCATAAAAGCAGTTTTAAGTTCTAATAATGATAAAGCACTTTTGAGAATAGCACTGCTTAGATGGAGTTGATACTTGAGAGATATGACAAAAGCAATTTTTACTATCAGTTATCCGAAACCGGATCAGAGATCTGTCTATACCAAGTACCTTTCTCACGCTCTTCATCAGCTAATTGTGGATCAAAATACTCTTGTTGCTCTAGTTCCTTTTTTGCTTTCTCAGCATCATTAAGTTTCTTCAGTGTCTCTGGGTTTCGATGTTCAGTAAGAGCTTTCTGGAATGTTTCAATTGCAGGGTCATAGTCCTTTGAGCATTTCGCTGTTTTTGTCATGGCAGTACCCTTCCTTGTCAAAGCCCTTGCAACCATCTTGAAGTCAGACCTGAGCTCTCTTCCCCTTTCAACAGCTTTGTCACAATCTTTAATGCAGTCTTCATACTGAAGCCATATATAAGCAAATTCTTATATTCATGAAACAATTAAGTAGGTGAAAATCAAAAAAATCCGAAGCACGTGACTTTATAGCCTATAACAAATTAATATAAGAGACAATTGTGTAATAATATTTAAATCTTAAATTCTTGAAAACATTCAAATGAAATCAACTCTCTAGCAACACAATGATGAATATGCAATTGATGATGAAAAAGTTGGTGGGTTGATACCAATGAATATTTTAAACAAGGGGAGAAGATCAGTCATATAGATTCATGGAGAAGAACACTAGAACAAACATTCAAGGTTCTAGAGTTATATTTTTAATATAAGGATGCCCATATCGTGTATTTAACAACAGGCCTACTTGGGTAAATAAGGAAGCAGCCAATTCTTGTATGCAAAATAGCCTACTTGTGCAGAACATTGTAAGCATATATACAAAAGAAAGCAGAGCCAGCCATACAAGTTTCAATCATTCCAGTAGGATTGAGATAGTTTAGACTCAGGCCTACCAGCATCATTTAACCAAAGGAAGCATGATTATGATAAAAGCAATGAACTATATAAACAGCTTTTTCTGGTTAAATGACCGATTTGTACATAATAGGTGTTAGCCTTGTACACCGCATTATGCTTAGGCCACTGAGAATGTGCTTCATGAAGAGAGAAGCCCAAGCCTCAAGTACATTTAATACCTTTCAATTGATCCACAAAGCATAAAACTTAATGACTTTTTAAGACCATTGGTTTAATCACAATCTTAGTAGCTCACCTATCCTTCGAAGGACAAAGGTGGGACAAAACCCCAAAAAGATGACCTTACATATATACAGCTACTTTCTGATTTCCAAAAGAATCCCTTATAGGTTATTGAAATCCAAGTATGATACTAAAAGGATAAAGTTGGGAACTATGTTTCCAGGAAATAAAAAACAATGATATACATCTCCGTAAGCACTAAACACAGCATATCAAAACATTAGACGGTAAAGTTGCAGGTAGTGCACGTGACTAATTACAATTTATGTAAATACCAGCACAACACATGTATCTTCCAACCACCTTCCTTCCCAAATACTCAAATATACCAAGTATTGCAAAGAAACAAACAAGCAGGGAAAATGCCAGATCGTTGGAACTTGGAAAGTAGAAAATAGGAAACAACATTTGAGTGGTGTCAAACACTGTTTAGTAGCAAAACAAGCTCCCGTAGCTATCCAAAACATTAAACAAGCTCCCGAGATCAATTAGAAATGACACAGCTGCATAAAAGAGAACAAAAATGTAAAAACACATACCTTTCCCATCTCTAAATACACAGCAGCCCTGTTAGTAAGAAAAGAAATGTCCTCATCGTCAAGCTCAATGGCATTACTGTAGTGTTGAATTGCTGTTTCAAAATCCTTCTTCTTATATGCCGCATTCCCAGCCTCTTTCTCCCTCTGAGCTTGTGCCTTTCGCTCTTTAATCTCCCCATCCTCTCCAGAGACCTCCACTTGCTCTGGCTGTGGCTCTTGAAATTTCTCCTTCAGGGGCTCAGCTTCAGCCGGTCTCTTCCACTCCTGAGATGCTTCTGTCATCTCAGCATCATCCTCCCCAGGCATACTAGTCTGCAATTTTATGCCCAATAACACCCCAAGAGACTGCATTACCCTCTGGTCCTTCAGATAGAGGTTCAAATTGCTAGGGTTTTTCTGAATATCTTGCATCATTCTAACGTAATCTGGCTGCTGCAAGTAGGCTCTGGTACTAGGGTCGCTAGTCAAACGAGCCCACATTTCCGGGCCTGAAAACGCATCTCCAAAGGGACTAGGAGATGGAGCCCTCGACCGGGATGGAGCAGATTGAGCATCAGCAAGGCCGGATTTCAATGCCTCGTTATTCGGGTCGATTTCTAGACCCTTCTTGTAAGCAGCAATGGCTTCATCTCGTTGGTGAAGGCCAAGATGAGCAGCACCGAGCCGAGAGTAGCCCTTGGACCAGTCCGGCTTGAGCTCAACGGTCTTCTTAGCGTCGACTAGGGCGTCTGAGAAGTTATTGAGAGAAGCGTAGGCTGCAGACCGATTGGAGTACAGGACGTGGTTAGTAGGCGCGAAACTGATCGCCTCCGTGAAGTGTTTGATAGCCTCCGTGAAATTGCCAGCAGCGAAAGCTGCGTTACCTTTAGCTTTAGCTTCGTCTGCCATGACTCAGTTTTAGCACTTCACGCTCTGCCAGAATCAAACGATGATGGAATGGGTTTCCACAGGAGGGTTTGTGGAATTTTAAAGGCGGTAAGCGTATCTAGATGGTTCCAGTGTTAGGGCAGAGAGGTCTTCTATTTAGGGGATGTTTGGTTTGTTTGATTCAATTCAGGAGTGTTTGGATCTCATTTTTAAAACTTTCTTTAGCTCTTTCATAGAGTAGAAGTTTGAGTGTTTTGGTGAAAGTGAATAAGTGATTTTGGTGCTCTAATTTACTCATAGAATCAGATTTTTTAGAAGTTGAGGGTGACCAGCTTCTGAAAACTGATTCTGATTCTGCTTTAAAAAAGAAGCAGAAGCAGAAGCAGAAGCAGAATCAGTTCCAAAAAACCCTTAAACTAAAAAACAATAGAAATTGCTCTAAATAGGAGAAAAAACGTTTTGAAATTCCAAAATAGTAGTATCATGTTTTTTATTCTCTCAATAAGAGTAATCTGCAAGTTTGGAAAAAAGTGACATATTTAAAGCGTAGTAATGTCAAGCTTGGCAGAAATTTATTCATATTCAAGGAATAAAAAATATGATGATCCTATTTTGGAATTTCAAAACTTTTTTACTCCTATTTAGGGAATTCTCTCAAAAAACAATTACGGAATTAAAGTAGAAATTTAGTTTTGAAACCTTTGATTGGTTCGATTTTTTTCTGTTTTGATTTTTCTTTTTTTCCTACAAAATATTGTAATTTAATTTAAATGATATAATAATGGGGGACCAAACATATTACATTAGAAAATGCAAGCATATCAGAACAATTAAAATAAAAAGAGAAAAATTGTTTTGATTTATATGAATATATGAGAATAAAGAGACATTTTTTCAAATGATATGGTACACAAGTATATATATTCTTAATTTACACTTTTTGACTAGTTTGAATAAAGATCATTGATATATACACTATGAGATATAGATAGAGATGAGTTTCTATTTTTTATCAATATAAAAACTTTAATTAACATAAAAATAAAATTCACTAGTACTACGTAATAATCAGCAAAAACATACCATCATCATGCAATGAATTGAACAATACATACATAAATATATAATAGATCAATATAGCTACTTTATTATAGGGAATCAATGTGTAAACGCACTTGTGAACTAAATTAAACATAGCACAAAAATAATTTCTTAGCACACAAAAACCAAAGAATATCAATGATATTAGGATTATTGTTTAACAATTAATAAATAAAATTTCATATTTTAATTAGTTCGATTTATTCCGTTTATCCGGTTCGGTTTTGAAGGGCCAAAACTGAAATTATTGATCCAAACAACCACAGTTCGGCTTGATTTTTTATATTTGATTTAGTTTTTGCGGTTCGATTTAATTTGGTTGCAATTCAGTTTATTTTTATTCAATTTTTAGTTTTCTATGCTTTGGGCTCAATCCTAATTTTGTTCTAGTTTTATGCTTTTTAACAAGTTCTTACATATATAAAATGTTAAAATGTTATTTTGAGGTTTTTCCTTGAAGATACAATATGACTTAAATGACTGTAAATATATTTTAATGATCATTTAGATGTAGTCACTAAGAATTATTATTATGTTTTGTTACACACTAGTCTTTCACTTGTGCGTTGCACAAAATAACAAATTAGTCAAAACTTACTATACAGAATACTTGTTATAATGCAATACCAAATGTAAGTGAAGAAATTGTTCAAAACAATAATACTACAATTACACAATTTTATATAAATAATACGTACTATCTTCATACCAGAAAATTGAGACAAGAGGCACCATGGGAATAATAATGTAATAGTCTAGGGACTTTTGTGTAAACGCTTAAACTCTGTTTCATTATAAATACATGCTCAAGGCACCCAATAGGGCAAGCCATTATTTCCCAAAATTATATTTTCGTATATGGTATCAGTCGCTTAGGGTTATTTGATTCTTTCTCTCTCTAATGCATGACACCTCCTCTAAGGTTGACGCAGCCGCCATGGCCGCCGCTACTACAGCGCCACCTCACTCCATGACCTTCATGACGTCGGAAACCACCACTCCAACTGTCTCTGCTACAATTGCCACGTCGCAGGGCTTCCCCTATTTCAGCAGCAAATCTTCTGTACCGCTGCATCAATCATGCGCGATGGAGGTTTCGTCTGGGTCTACTACCTCGTTCGTTGCCTCTCCATGAATCTCGTCTGTCTCAACCAGCATGCCAATTGATTCTTACATCCTCTTTCATATGTCGGCACCATCACTATTTATTATTGCAGCTTTGGATTTCGTTGGACGATCGCCCGATCATGTCATAGGCCGGTCCGTGGAGTACGCTGGACCCACATTCTCTGGCCAACCAGGAGTCTCGCCACTGCTGCATGTTTCTCCATCTCACCTGCCAGGTTTTTCATCACCTCCTACATGTTTTATCATCCCTTGCATCCCAATTAGCGGTTGAGGATTATTTACCATGGGGTACCCAGTTTGAATTCTTTCTGGTATCTCATGATTTTCTCGGGATACTAGATGGGTCCATTCTGGTTCCACCACCTACTGTTTGCAATATGGCCAAGCGTGAAACACCTAACCCCGATTATCATCATTGGCTCAAAATTGATCAAACAGATAGGTTTTGGTTATTTGCTACATTGTCTAGGGATGTTTTGATGGAGGTGTATGATCTTAAATTTTCTCATTTAATTTGGGAGCGTCTTCAAAGTCGTTCTCAGTCTGCCTGTTTAGCATGTTCCATGGAACTTAAAAGAATGTTATCTCATGTGAAAAACAAGGAGTCACAAACTATGGATCAATATTTGTTAGAAATTAAGCTTATGGTAGATAATCTGGCAGCTATTAATTCCCATGTAGTAATAAGGACCTCATTGAATATGCTACTCTTGGACTTGGCCGTGACTACGAGTCTCTCATCACGGCTATCACCTATTTCCTAGGGAATGCCACACTAGACACATTGCACCTTATTTTACAAGCTCAGGAGCAACAGAATGCTTATTTACAAACCCATGAGGCTTCTCTCGTCCACCGCATGGTCCTCCATTTACTGGTGCTCCATGTTCGGTATCCACCGTAAAAGCATGATTGAACCCAAGATACTTACGGATTTCCTCCACTCGATCGGCACCACACAGTGTTTCCAAAAGGAAGATAATGGAAGGGTGATAGTTTCACCATATTTGCCAACACTTTCACTATAGTGACGTTGTCGAGACCCCGACAAATCCAACTAACACAACCCATAACAAAATAGCAAACAACACTCGACCACACTGTCGTTGGTGAGGACAAAACACACCCTGTAAAAGGGAGAGAAAAAACTCTCACATTGGAGCCGCGACAGGAAACATAAGAGCAAGAGCCCTACAACACACCAATAACCTCCACCAACATAGTGTTCATCCCGACGTGCATCTCCATCGATGAAGAGAATTTCCCTCCATTGAAAATGAGCCTTTCACCCACCAAAATTGAAGAGACAGTCGCAACAGTCTCACCTCCATCCAGATGTCTGGTCAAACAATCAGGCTTCCTGACTGTTGTGGGCGTTGCGACTCACCATCAAATCAATGGTCTTCTTCATGTTGTATTTAAGTTTTTGTGTGTTAAAACTTAAAACCCAATGGACATATCACGCACACACAAATAGTGTTGTGTGTGTTTCGGGAAAACGAAGAAATATTAATTAATAAAAATTAAGTAATTAATTAAAATAGCTAAAGAAAATCAAAAAGGAGATGGAGCAGAAATTAGCCAAAGGTCGTGTCTTGCACGATGTCCTTAAAACGTATTCATTGCCTTTCTAGGTGTTATGAGCGTTGCAATGATCGTTTCCCAGGATACGTTGACTACGAACAATTGTTTGAGCACTCAACAAATTGTTCCAGCGAACGGAAACCAAGTATGAACACTCGGGAATATTTTTCGAAATTCTGGAGGTGTGTTTTAGCTCAAAAACGTCTGTGATAACTGTGTAGTGAGTTGTGTTGTTGCAAAACACATGTCAGGTATATACAGGGACAGATTTGTGGTGTGTTAACTAAGCATTAATGGACCTGAACGTTGGACATAAATGAGTTTTGTCGGTCTGGAAAAAAATAAGGATCGTTACGGGAAGAAACAAAAATTAAATCGTATCTTTGAAAGAGAGATTTTTGGACGACATTCGTGTCCGCATGCAGGTCGCCGTGCACGCAAGTCGCGGTTTTTCTTCTCCGTTTTCAGGATTTGATCGGTACCCCCTGCGCGTGAAGAGAGCCTTTCCACCTAAGAATATTAACTACTTCAAAGAGGGTTCCCTTTATAAGGGCGTGAAAATCTTTTGGGTTTTCTGGTGTGGGATGAATCCCACTAGAAACTCATCATTTTCCCAGTTTTTTCATTTCAACGAGTGAACTTTGAGAATCAATTTCTCATTCACCACTTATCCATTTTGAGTGTACCATATATCTAATTGTATCCCTTAACAAAGACAATCCAAAACCACTTTGACCCGACCCAAATCGAAAGTGGACCCCACTCAAAATATTGCCCCAAATTGAATATCAAATGCAATTTTTAACACATTTTTTCAACAGATAGAGAGCATTGATGTGTCTTGCATTATTGTGTCAGTCAAGGTCTGGTCTTCTTGAATTTATTAGTTAAATAAAATGTAAAGGGAAATAAAAGATAGAAAAAGAAATAATAAAACATTACTAATTTTGATGAAATTTGTGTAGTTTTAAATCATTCTTACTTTATCAATTTAATATCAATCGTTCAAACTCGCTTTTTTAATAACTGTGTCACGTCTTCATGTCTCAATGTTAGTGGGAAGAAGGTAATATAAATTAACACATAATTTATCTTACTAAGACTATGACATGAAAACGTCTATCATGTTTTCAATAAACTGATAAAAAAGTTTAACCTATCACTAAAAATAAGTTTATAGTCGATTAAAGTTAATAACATCACATAAAATATTCAAAGTTAACTAAATGAGTTGGTGGTAAAATAGTTGTATAATTCACAATTTTATTCAAATGAATCATGCAAAATGTATAATATACTATAATTTAACTGAAATTAATATAAATACAATTTGCTATTATTATCACTAAACATATTT